ACAACACCTTCACTCATCGTTTGCTCGTCATCGTCCTCCTCCTCCGCCTCGTTCCTCCTCCTCCGCGGCGCGCCCGAGGGGAAGTGAGAAGGGGCGGGCCTTCTCTGTAGGTTGGGAAGTCCCCCGGCCTTCCGAGAATTTTTCCCCAATCAATGCTTGCTTTGCAGGGGTCCTAGCAGAAGTTGAAGGATTTGGCGAAAGTTCCCCGCCAATTTTGGTGGCAGGCTGGGTTCCCGGGTGCCCGGGTTCCCGGTTCCGGGTTCCCGGGTTCCCGGTTCCGGGTTCCGGGCCGATTTCGGAGGGCGGGGAGGTTCCCGGGTTCCCGGGTTTTTGGTCGATTTTTTTACCGATCGGTCTCACCATCGATCTCATTACCGATTTCTCGATCGATCTCACCATCGACCTCACAATCGATCTCACTATCAATCTCAAAAAAGATCTCACTAGAGATCGCATGAGCGATCCCGCGATCGATCTCACTATGGATCTCATTGAATCGATTTCACTCTCGGTCTCACGATCGACCTTACAATCGTCCTCACTATCGATTCCACTATCGATCTCATTATCGATCTCACAATCGATCTCAAGATCCATAGTATCAATTTTCAAATCATCCACTGATTGGGCTTTCTCAGGTGTAATTCTAAACCTTCCCCGAAGGCAAACAAAAACTTTTCGGTAGGCACGAGTGCTTCTGAGAAGCCCCGCCACCTTTTGAGAAGGCCTTGTCCCTCTCATTTCCCCCCCTCGCTCGTGGCCGAGAAAAGGCACAGTCGGACCGAGGTATACGATCGAGGTCGATTCTGGGAGGGTACCCTGATGTTCTGCGTGCTTGTTGGACGTTTTTGTGTATCCTGGGGAGGGCGCCCCTGGATGTTCTGTTTGTTTTGGCCGCCGGAGGGTCTCGTGCTCTTGAGGGGTGTCCTTCTGGCCTGGGCCCGACCGTACCGCCGCCGCTGCCCTCCTCGTTCTCGCCTTTCCGGGCTTCTGGGAGGCCACGGCTGGATTCGCCTCGAAGGACTGGTCAGGGCGCACCCCAGGAAAGGTCTGGGGAGGAGGAGGAGGAGGAGGAGGAGGAGGAGGAGGAGGAGGAGGAGGAGGAGGAGGAGGAGGAGGAGGAGGAGGGGGAGGAGGAGGAGGAGGAGGAGGAGGAGGAGGAGGGAGTAGTGGTATTGGTACCTTTTCGTTGCCTTCAGGAGGGTTCACACGGTTCGGAAGAGGGCCAGTTGAGACATAGGTCGCTTTTTGGCCTTCGTCTAGGTCACCCCGGGGGGCGCGAAGACAGCCACGCTTCGCGCGTCGCGGCTGGGGCCGCGGAGCTGGCGTTCCCCAAGGGCGCAAGGCGGGGCGCGATGTGCGAAATTAGGTGACCTAGTTTTGGGGGCCCCATCTTCGCCGTGGCCGAACTCAGCTCTGAGAACTTGTGCGTTTGGACCCTGGGAGGGGTCCGAGAACCGACTTTGAGCGGATTCGGCACGGCCGAGCCCAGCTTTGAAAGCTGACGCGTTTGGACCCAGGGAGGGGTCTGGAGGCCGACTACTAGCGGACGTGGGCCGGGCGGGATGGCCGCCGTTGCTTCACGGGCGTCGTCTCAGCTGGCCTTTCTCCGAGAGGTCACGGAGAGGGCGACGGGGCGTCAGTTCGCGCTGAAGGAGATCCTGACGGTCAGCGACGACGACCGGGCCTCGCGGGAGAAGATAGAGCGGGAGGTGAGCGTCCACAAGAGCCTCAGGTCGGGTGCTGCTAGAAGCGTCCCTAGGCTATGGTGCCCCTAGGATCTCCAAGGAGGCCCCAGCGGCCTCCAGAGCACCCCTCACAAGGCCCAGGGGGCCCTGGAGGCTACAGAATTGAGCGAGCAGCTGGGGGCACCTTGGGCCAGGGACACCTTCAGCTCAGCCTCGTTTGTCCGATCCCCATCCCCCCTTCCCACTGGGCCATGGCATCTCAGGCACGCCAGCCCAACCCCTCAGTTGAGCGACAAAGAAAACGGGGTCGACTGCGCCGACATCGGCGCGTAAGCTGCCCGCATCAGGTCGCGCGTTAGCGCCCTCGTCTCCGATGTGGCGTGCCGCGCTGGCGGCCCGCGTAAGCCGCCGCGTAAGGTCGCTATGCCATCTCGCGTAAGACCCCTTCTTGCTCGTCGCCCAGTTGGGGATAGGCCCCGCGAATCCTGACGGCAACACCGCACATTCCCATCGATCCGTGGGGCCAGAGCCATGCCGGTGGGGATGGGGATCGGCGAAGAGCGCTGTTCCACAGCAGCAGCCCCGAGCAGGCACCCGCACATTGTGCGGTGCTGCGAGAGCTTCGACCACTGCGGCATCCACTTTATGCTGCTCGAGCTCGCCGAGGGGGGCGACCTCTGATGGGCCAACTGTCCACCACCACTACCATAGGTAAGACGGAGGATAACGGAGAATGGGGAGGTCTTCCTCCTCCTCCTCCTCCTCCTCCTCCTCCTCCTCCTCCTCCTATCTATGGTAGTGGTGGTGGAAAATCGGCCCCTCAACCTCTACCGGCGCCTGCAGCGCGACAGCTCCCTCAAGGAGGCGCAGGCCGCCCGGCTGCTGGCGGACGTGGCCGCGGGGCTGCACTATCCGGCGGCCTTGGCGGCCCATCCCCCCGCCGTGCCTGGGCCGTGGACGAGATCGCTGCTTGATCTGTGATGTTCCAACCTACCTTGTCCCTGATCACCAGAAAGAGTTTCGAGCACCAAGAAAGTACCGAAACTCGAGGGCTTTTAAAGTGTCGGGCCCTGGGGGCGGTCCTCGTTCCACATTGTGTCGATACTTTTCTGGGTGCTCGAATTTATTTCTCGGATGTGGTCCTTTGGGAGCAACAGAGTGCGTGATTCCAAGGTGAAACAAACTGCACAAACATAAACTTTCGGAGCTCCGCGTGGAAGCCCCGCCGCGTGAGCGGGCCCCCGCGCCCAGCTCTCTCCTGCGGCCGCCTCCTCCTCTTTCTTCCCCCTCTTACATGTGGGCTGAGTCGCGACTCCGCCCCCTGGTGTCGCTCGGACGCGCGTGCGGATTGCCTCTGCCGCGCCGCGATTTTTTTTTTTTTTTTTTTTTTTTTTTTTTTTTTTTTTTTTTTTTTTTTTTGTTTTTTTTTTTTTTTTTTTGTTTTTTTTTTATTTTCAGTTTTTTTTTTTTTTTTTTTTTTTTTTTTTTTTTTTTTTTTTTTTTTTTTTTTTTTTTTTTTTTTTTTTTTTTTTTTTTTTTTTTTTTTTTTTTTTTTTTTTTTTTTTTTTTATAAAATCTATATACATTTTTTCAAGGGAGGAGGAGGCGGAGGAGGAGGACAGGAAATAGTAGTAATAGTACTATTAACAATAATCAGAATAATAAACATCATGCTACTATTAAGAATACTATTAGTATTAACCATCATAACGCGAAGCATAACAGTACTTTGAAGAAGACGAGTGCTAATACTATTACCATTACTAAGAGCAATCATGATATTACTAATCATATTAAGACACATAAGAAGAAACAAGCTACGGCAAATAATACTGACACTACAATTAACAAGAAATGAATGTAGTAATATTAGTAGTGGTATTATGAATAATACTAATGCTAACACGAGTCATACTCATACTAATGTTAATAACACGCAGCATTATTCATAGTAATCTTATGATTAATGATTTGGGAAATGAACAACACGAATGAATAGTAATCATAATACACTAGTAATCATACTAATACTTATCATAAGAAAAAGGAGGTGGAGGCTGTCCCGTTTGGGCCTCTCAAGTTGGAGCCGCTGGGGGGGGCTCAGGTCCCCCAGCTGGTGCTGGCCAGCAGACGTGGGGAGAACAGGCCCCCTCGTCGCCATGCCTCGGCGCGGCTCGAAGAAATTGTGTGCTTCGATCTGGATGGGTGCGGGGAGTGATTTTGGCGTGGACGTGCCCATTTTCTTGACTGATCTTCTCGGGGCCCATCCATCGCCGATTCCCCGTGCCGCTTCCAGGACGAGCGGCCTCGTAGAGGCCTCTTGGGATCTCTCTTGGGACGTTTCCTGAGGGCTTCTTGGATCCAGTTGGAGGCCTCTTTTGGTTCTCAAGGGCGCCCTTGGAGGCCTCCCCGGGGCCTCCGAGACGGCCTCCTCGGGGGCCTCCGGGGGCCTCTCGGGGAGCCCACTGGCGGTCTCCGGCGGTCTTTTGGGGTGGTGGACTCCGAGTGTCAGTCCGTGTTGCCCCCTCTGGGGCTCCAGTCGGGGCCGTCTTGGGGCCCTTGTGCCCCTCTTTGGAATTCTGGAGGCCTTTTTGTGGGGCGATCTTGGGGGCCTGCCAGACGGTCTCGGACGGAACTACGGCAGAGTCAGCGAGTATGCTAATGTGTGCACAGAATCCCAGACATCCGGCGCCTCGATTTTTTCGACTCTCGGGTCCCCGAATTCTGAGTCGTTTTTGACGGTCGCGAGGCCTAGTTAGGGCCCCGAGAGGCTGAAAACGATGAAAGACCGTTGTCTCGATTTTTTCGAGACGCTGGATGTCTAGGATGCAGGTGCTTTCCAATGATTCTGGCCTCTTGGACCACCCTCGGGGCCTCGAACAGGCCAACCCCCGCCCAGAGGCCCAGGACGGTCCGTTGGGTCCATCGCGGGACTCGCAGGAACTGTGAACTCGATGGTGGCGGCAGCGACGACGACGGCGACCACGAGGTTCGTGGATCGAGGTTCGAGCTCTGGGGAGGGCAGGACGATGAGAGGCTCTCTCTCCTCCTGCACCTTCCTCCCTCCTCCCTCCCCCCTTCCTCCCCTCGTCGCGCCGCGTCGCGCTGCCGAAGAGGCCACGCCCCAAGAATCGTCCAGAGTCGTGCGGGGATCCCCAGGAGCGCCCAGAGGCACCCAGGAATCCCGAGAGCGCTGGGGGTCTGGGCTCCCCCTGAGGAGCCCGTGCGGTGCCCAGGACAGAGAGAGCTCCAAGGGGGGCCCGAGGGCGCCCCACAGCCGTGCCTCGGGGCACGGCGTCGGATCTGCACGCGATGGGCTGGATGCACCGCGACATCAAGCCCGAGAACGTGTTCCTCGACGGGGAGGACCGCGGGAAGCTCGGCGACTTCGGCGAGTGCGCCGACGCGTCGGCCGCGCAGACCCTGGAGTGCGGGTCTCCCGCGTACTTCGCCCCCGAGATGTGCGCCGGGGGCGGCTACGACCGCCGCGTGGACGTGTGGGCCGTCGGGATCCTGCTGTACGAGATGCTCACGGGGTCGTGGCCGTTCCCGCTGGCCCTCACGCTCAACGCCACCAAGGAGGCGATCTCCAAGCTGGGCTTCCGCGACGGGGCCTGGGCGAACGTCCCAGTCGACGCCCAGGCTGTCATCAGGTCGATCTTGCAGAGAGATCCTGGGCAGCGCCTAAGCCTGCTGGGCGTGCTGGGGCACGCGTGGCTCACGGGGCACGTCGGGTCCGGCGAGCACGAGGCGGCGGTGGCGCTGGGTCGCGAGCTGCAGGAGCGGGCGAGCGCCGTCGCTGCGCTGAGGCTGGAGCTCGAGGACCTCGAGGTCTCCACCGACGTCGCCGAGGCGAGGGAGGTGCTGAGGAGGGCCGTCTCGCGCGGCATGGAGGGGGAGCCCCTCTTCTGCAGGCTGGCGGAGCGGTACGAGGTGCTCAAGAAGCAGGCGCGGCGGTGCGAGGACCTGCTGAGGCTCGAGGGAGAGCAAATAGCGGCATAAGCATCAAGTCGGGCACGTCCTTCTTCAGGAGGGATTTTCCGGAATGGCCGGAAAGAGTCGGACGATTTCAGTGGATCATTTTCGAGCATCTTTTGGATTATTTCTGGTTATTCACCCAAAGTCCGCCTGCAGGAGGACATGCCCGACCCAACTCAACGAGGACAAATGCACCCCGACCCCATCGTCGGCGTTTACTAAACGGCCCCGTGCGTTTAGTGAACAGCGCTTCCTTGTTCGCTCCCTTCGTCGGGTGCGTTTACTAACCGGTTGCGTTGTCGGGGCGCTGCTTATCGCGGTGGATCTCCAGCCCTCGACTGACGTGAGCATCAGCCTCCGCGGGTCCGGCCGCGCAGATCTCCTCCTGGATCGGCGCGGGGCCCCGCCTCCCGGGCGCGCGGAGCGCCGCCGGGGGCGGCGCCGCTCCGCGCCGCCAGGGGGGGCCCGGGCACCGATCCAAGGAGATCTGCGCGGACCTCCGAGGCGAACCCGTGTGCAGCGTGACGCGTCGGCGTCTCCAGGGGCGCCTTCGCTCCTCGGCCCAGGACCGGTGCGCGGCGCACAGCTTCATCAGTCGGGCGTGGCCTGCTGCGGGAGGAAATGTGCAAAAAGAGTGAAAAAGTCAGGGGACAATTTTCATATATATATATATATATATATATAAATTATTTTGGTTTCCAATGAATTTGTTAGTAAGAAAATCATATTCTGCCTGTAGGAGGACATGCCCGACCTGAGCATAGCTGCTCGGCCCTCGGGGCCGACAGCCTGTGCGGCCGCACCGCGCCGGAGCGGGGCCCGAAGGCCGTCCCAGCATGGCACGGTGCACGGGCGCCTGCGGCAGCAAGGCACGGGAGCCTCGCAGGCCCTCGCAATTCTGTCTCTGGCGTCGATTCAGCGCCTGGGAGTCAACGAGGTCGCGCAGATTTTGCGTAGCTTGGCGTCGATCAGCGCCGGTGTAGCGTCGATGAGCGTGGATTTAGCGTCGATTCACGTCGATTCGCTAGGCCCGACAAGCTGGTATAGGAGCTTCCTACGAGTTGCCACCGAAGGCTCCCATCTAGTATACCCAGACATTCGAGGTCCTGCTGTGTCCAACGCGCGGTCCCCGGAAGTCCCGACCCTTTCCCCAGGGCCGGCTCCTCGTCCCGAGTCGTTCTCTGTCACGAGGAAGAGAAACACACAGACACAATTCATCCTCGATTCCCCAGAAAATATGGGAAACTATGGGAAGTGGGGGGGAAGACAGAAACCCAGAAAATATGGAAAAATATAGGGAATATCTTTCTTTGTGTGTATTTATTTGTGTGTCCTGGGGCCCCTTCACTCTGACGTCCCCGAGGCCCGGCGGGGGCCCCCAGAGGCTGCCGGTGGCCCACAGCCCTCCCGTCATGATTTCGCGCCCCGCGGACGTGTCCAGGTACTGCAGGTTCGTGCCGCGTCGACGCGGCGGCGAGCCCAGCGCGGGCGTCGCCAGTGGCTCAGAAGCGGCCAGCCAGTGTAGAGCGGTTCGGCGAGCAAGAGGCCGCCGATCGTTCAAGGAGCGGCCACACGCGGGGTCAGAAGCCAGCGCCGGGCTCGTCACGACACGAACCTGCCGTATGTTTTCTTGTTTTCTTCCTCCAGAGGTGCAATCGGCACACCCCCCACGCGCTCCACCGAAGGCCCAAGTGGCGCAGCTCGCATTGTGGCGTTGCACCCACTTCGGCACACCCCGTCACACGTTTCGTGGCCCCACAGGGAGCTCCACCGAAGACCCCAGCGGCGCAGTTCGCATGGTGGCGTCGCCCGCATCCGCTCTTCTCCTCCTCGTCCACGCCGCAGTCCTCCTGCTGCCCCCGCTCCTTCACCCCACCTGCCCCGCGACACTCGCCTAAGCAGGTTGGGTCCTCGGACCAGGTTTTTGTCTGTTGTCCCAGAGGTGCACCCGCCAGAGCAGTAAGACCGACGTCCGGAAGCTGCTGGCGGCGCTGGCAGCGGAGGGCCTCGACCTGCCTGGCGGCTGGCTCGTGGCGGGGGGCCCGCGGCTGTTCGCCGCGGCCGAGGGGTGGGCGCTGGAGCTCAGCGACCACGCGCCCTCCCTGCCTCCCCTCCTCGTCCTCCTCCTCCTCCTCCTCCTCCTCGTCCTCCTCCTCGTCCTCGTCCTCGTCCTTCGGCGAGAGGTCGCGCCGCCTGGCGGAGGCCAAGCGCCGGCGCGCGTAGACGCCCAAGCCAGAGCTTCGCGACACCCACTTTGAGTTCCAGCAGCTGGCGCATGATCTGGAGGGCGAGGATGACTGCAGCAAGCCTATCTTGTTCGCGGGTGATGCTTGGTGCAGCCGCCGCGTCATTGTGCCCGCGACGGCTGCCCGTGCCTCTTGTTGGCCAGCAGGGGCGCTTCCTCCAGACCAGGGGCCCCGCGGTCTCCGCCGAGGTCGGCCTCGCCTGCGCCAAGTGTGGTTTACCGGGCTGGAGGAGGCCCGCGCCGCCGCGGAGCAGGTCCCGAGAAGGCCGCGGCGTGCAGGGGGCGTGCCAGCGGCCACTCCACCAAGAAGGTGGCCGCGACTGCCGCGCCGGGACGCGCTCGCACCTGGAACGCGCTCGCTACCTTGGCCATTCGTGCGTAGTCGCTTCTCCGCAACGGCTCGGGCCCCAACCAACTTCGCCGCGTCCTTGGGGGCCTCAAGGACTGCTGCATCTAGGTCGGGGGGGGCAGCCAGAAGAAGACGCGCTTGCAACGCCGCCGGCGTTGAGATCCAGGAGTGGCAAACTGCGGAGGACGAGACTCTCCGCGGCGTTGGGGGGGCTCCGCGCGTGCGCTGCTGCGCGCAGTCGGCAGTTCATGGAACTCTAGGAGCGGTGGGCGAGTGGGGCGATGGGCCAGCCGGCTTTGTCTACGGGCGCATCGAGGGCCTTCCCTGCCAACGGGCCGATATGCTCGTCGGTGACGCGGCCGTCGCAAGACCCCGTCGCCATCGTGGCTGCTAAGACGAATCGGTGGGGGGCCATCTGGGCGGGCTCTGAGTCTGGCGAGACCGCCCCCCCTCAGGCCCTCGACGTGCTGCTGTGCTGGGCGTCGGAGGCGCGGCTGCGGCCCATCGCGCTGGATATGCTCGGCGCGGTCTTCGCTGGGGCGCCCTCTGACAAAGCGCGCGTGGTCGACGTCGTCTCGGCCGCGGGCGCCCGGCGCCGCCCGCTTTTGGCGAGGCGGGAGCTCGTCGACCTGCTCGACATCATTGAGCAGCAGGGGATGTGGCCGGGGCAGCCGCTGTAGGCGCTGCGGTGCCAAAGCTGGTGGTGGGAGACCGTGCTCTTGGCGTGTTGACATCGAGAAGTTCTACGACGTAACCGGGTGCAGAATTCATATTCGCGCGGCTCGTGTATACGGGCTTTGATCAAGACTTTCTTCCTTTGTCGGAGCGTTGGAGACCCAGCGCTTCATGTCGCCGAGGCGGCTGAGGCAGCAGAAGTGGTTCGGCCCGTTGCTCCGGACTGGCAAGTCTGCGGTGGCGGGCTCCTCGCATGGCAACAAACGCGCCGAGCTCTTCCTGGTCCTGATCTTGGTGGAGTCCAGCAGGAAGTGGGGTGGCTCGGAGCTCTGGGCCTTCGCGGACGACGCCGTTGCTAGAGGGGGGGGCGCCCAGGGCCTCGTTCGCTCCGCCATCTTGGGGGCGGCGCAGATGCTCGAGCAGCGTCTCGGCGAGTGGCGCCTCGAGGTTCCGGACAGGGCGGTCGTCGTTTCCAGAGGCCTTGTCAGCGACGACGCGCAAGTAATCTTTGAGGCGTGACTTGCGCGGCTGCCGCCAAGGTTGTCGCCTCGGGCGTCGACGCGGCTGGTGGCCGTGCGCGGCCCCGGCGCAGGGCTGACACTAGAAAGTGAGCTGCGCGCTGACAGTGAAGGCGCATCGTCCGCGCGCGCCAGCGCGTGCGCCCTGGCAGGCTCGCCAAGGCGTTGGTTTACGACGGTCCAGCCTCCGGCCACCTACGGGCACCGGGCCATGGACCATGGATTGGCCCCGTCCGCCAGTGTCAAGTTGCGGAGGGCTGCCAGTGTCTGCTGCTGGGTGCGACCCAGGGCAGGGGCTTGACGAGCATCCTGGGCGCGCTCCGCGGCGACGAGGAGCCAGGGGTCGAGTTGCGCCGCCAGTTTTTGGCAGAGTGGCTGCGGACGACTTCGGGCGGCGCCTAGCGTGGGCGCATCCGCCGTCCAGGTGGAGTTTGGGCGAGGCCGTCGGGCTGCAACTGTGGCAGCAGGCTGGCGAGCGTGTCGACGGTGAGGATTGCTTGCGCAGGGTAGACGCCATGGGGGTCGCCATGGAGCAGCATTGCTTTCCTCGCCGACGGGAGAACCTGGTGGCGGTGTCTGGCGGACAGTGGCCGCGTGAACGCTGGCGGGTGGCAGGCCGCGGGCTGGGCTCCGCCCTCTGCCCGAGGTCGGCGTCGGCTAGGAGTCGTTGTGCCGCAGGGTCCGCGCCACAAGACGGCGCACCTGCTGGAGCAGGCGAGGGGGGCAGGGCGCGCTCCGCCCAGCCCATGAGGCGCCGCGGCCTGGCCCACCGAGGCGCCGCGCCGCGCCTGTCTTCGACGTGGACTTCACCGGGTGACAGGTGGGCGTCGGCGGATTCGAGCGCGCGAGGTGCGAGGGCGGCGTTCTCCACCTGTTCGGCGACGTGAGCGGAGGTGAGCATGGTAATGGTCGTCGCCGCCGCCGAGCTGATATAGTATTTTGCTCGATCGCCGTCGACCCTGCGACCTTCGCCTGGACCTTGACGGGCGGCGCCGTCGGAGGAGCTCCAGCGCGCCAGACAGTGCCGCGTGCTGAGCTCCTCGCCTTTGCCCTCGCTCTCGAGGCTAACTGTGGGACGTAATTGTTCTGCGCTGGCACCGTGGGCTTGTTCCCAGGATGGCGCGCCTGTAGGCATGTCCGACCGTCGGGGCTCAAGGGGGACTTCTGGGGCCAAGTGGAAAAGGCCATCTCATCCCAGGGGGCCCATCGGGCCCGAAGAGGTCCAGATGGAGAGGATCCCGCCCCGCGTGGACGAGGGCCCCGGCAAGCTGGTCTCACCTGGCTCCCATCTTCGTGCCGCGGGGGATGCCCGTGCTGACGCTCTGGCGGGGGCTGCCGCCTCCCGGGTCTGGGGGCGGGGGGTGCTCGGGTCGCCCCCGTCGAGCCAGCGTCTAGGAGGAGGAGGAGGAGGAGGAGGAGGAGGAGGAGGAGGAGGAGGAGGAGGGGGAGGGGGAGGGGGAGGGGGAGGAGCGTCTGGGGTGCCATCGCAGCGCGGGCGCGCCCGGGGTGCGCTCGCCGTCGACGCCCGGGAAGCCCACGGGGCCTCCCGAGGCACGTGCCGCCTCTCGGCCGAGGCTCCTTCGAGCCTCGGGAGCTGGGCGGCGCGCTCCCTGACCTCCTTCCGCAAGGGCTCCCTCGAGGGCGCGAAGTTATTCGCGCTTCGCGCTTCGCGGTCCTCGTTCCTTCTCCCCCTCCTCCTCGTCCTCCTATTCTCCCTTTGGGAGGGCGGCGCGAGAGCGCGAAGTTATTCGCGCTTCGCGCTTCGCGGAGCGCGAAGCGCGAAGTTGGGAGCCCTAGCTTCGAGCCTTGGGAGCTGGGCAGCGCGCTCCCTGACCTCCTTCCGGGGAGGCAGCTGGCTGTGCCCTTCGTGTCGGCTCCTGGTCACGGGGGGTCGGGTCGAGAAGGCGGCTGTGCCTCCGCGCGCTTCCCTCCCAGCCCTGAGGTTTGGCAGAGGAGTGGGTGTCATCGTCAGCAGTGCTGCGTGTACTTTTACAGCATCCATGGTACTCAGCTTGTCCACGGCTCATTTGAGCCGTGCCACAGGTCGGAGCGCTGCTTGCATTTTGCTGAATCTGCTGTTCGACGTCCACCCAGAGAGACGTGGGAGTAGCCCGACCATGCGCTCGCACACCCACACAGAAGGGCCACGACAACCTCTCACGAACCCACCGCGGCCAGCATCCGACCTATGCTGGTATCTCCAAGGCAGCGCGCATGTTGTAAGCATGATGCAAGCCGGCGTTTGGACGTTTGGCCTGGGCTCCACGGAGGGCCTTCCTGCGGGCTCTTCGGGCCCCGCTGGTGGACCATGCGCTCCCACTCTTCTTTATTCTTAATATCCCTCCTCCCTGCCTCCTTCCCTCCCTCCCTCCCTGCTCCTCCCTCTCCTCCTCTTTTTCCTCCTCCTCACTCTCTTACACCTCTTCATCCTCCATCTTTTCCACTTCTCTCCCTCCTCCCTCCTCTTCCTCCTCCCTTCCTCCCTCCCTCCTCCTTCTCGTCCTCCTCCGCCCCTGGCCTCACAAGTAACTTTTCCTTGTCGCCCCATAAGACGTGTCTGTAGGGCGGGCTGGGCGTTTCGCCTGAGACTTTCTCACCCTCTATGACCATGAAACTTGCAATTTGTTGCAGTTTGGCGGATGGAAGGCGGGTGGTTATCAAAATGTGGTTCTCGAAGGATCGCTGCGCACAGTCGTTTTCATAGTTCGCAGCAGTTCCAAGTGGAGGGCGGGCAGTCTTCGAAATGTAGCTGTCGCCTCAGCGCCGCGCACATTCGATTTCAATTTTTGCAGCAGTTTCACGGATGGGTCGCGGGTTTTGTTCAACATGCGGTTGTCCCTTCAGCGCCGCGCGCACTCGTGTTAAACAGTGCAGCCGTTTCACGGTTGGAGGGCGTTTCACTGGTGGTGGGCGTGCCGTTTTCACAGCGTGTTTCCCTCCTCAGCGCCGTTCACACGTTTTATCACAAAACGTTTGACGGGTGGAGAGCGGTCTTTTAAGAAGTGGCTCTCGTCCCAGCGCCGCGCGCATCAATCTCAAGGGGTCGCATGGCTGAGTTCCCAGTATAATCGTTTTAGTATGACTAAGGGCTGCCATGACATACCAGTCACGTTGATTTGTGGTGTTGCAGTCACAACGGGTGGTGCCCTCGCACGGCTAAAACTTGCCAATACGCAACAATCGCGTTACTTTGTGGCGCTGCATCCCAGGGGTGGCTGGCGTTTGGGCACGGTTGAGGCATGTCAAACAGGTCTCTTCCAATAGGTCATTTAGGGCTTGATACAGAGGGAAATTAGAGGGAGGGATTATTCCAACATTTTTGATCCGTCTGGGTTTTACATTTTTTTCCCTCCTCCCTCCTGCCTCCTTCCGGGGTCCCCCCGCCTCCCTCCCTCCCTCCTTCCGTCGGTTCCTTCTCCCTCCTCCCTGCTCCATCCTCCTCCGGTTCCTTCTCCTCCTCCTCGTCCTCGTTTTCTTTTCCCTCCCTTTGCCTCCTCTTCCTCCCCATTCTCCTCCTCCTCCTCCTCCTCCTCCTCCTCTTCCTCCCTCTCCTCCTCCCCCTCCTCTTCCTCCTCCCCCTCCTCCTTCTCCTCCTCCACCTCTCCTCCTCTTCCTCCTCCTCCTCCTCCTTCTCCTCCTCCCCCTCCCTTTCGTTTTCCTCCTCCTCTTCCTCCTCATCCTCATCCCTCAACCCCGGCCCGCTTCGCGGGGTCGGCTCACCCGCGCGGCACTGCGCGTCGTCGACGGCGGCGGCGCCGGCGGCGGCGACTACGACGACGACGACCTACTCGCTGGTCGGCTGTGTGCGGTCGCCTCGTTCGGCTGCGTGCAGTGGGTTCGGTTCGGTTCGGTTCGGTCGGCTGCTGTGCGCTGCTGCGCCGCCGTGCCCCTCTGGGCATGCTTGCTGCCCATAGGCTTCGGTCGGCTTCGATTGGCCTTCCCCACCAGGCCATAGAAGCCCACCCTTTCAGGTCGGAGCAGGCCCCGCGAAACCCGAAGGAACAGGCATACACACAACGCACATATGTCTGTCTCTCTGCCTGTCTGTCTGTCTGTCTGTCTGTCTGTCTGTCTGTCTGTCTGTCTGTCTGTCGGTCTGTCGGTCTGTCGGTCTGTCGGTCTGTCGGTCTGTCTGTCTGTATGTATGTATGTATGTATGTATGCATGTATGTATGTATGTATGTATGCATGCATGCATGCATGCATGTATGCATGCATGCATGCATGTATGCATTTATGCATGCATGCATGCATGCACGCATGTAAGTATGTATGTATGCATGTATGTATGTATGTATGTATGCATGTATGTATGTATGTATGTATGTATGTATGTCTGTATGTATGTGTGTGTATGCATGCATGCATGCATGCATGCATGCATGTATGTACGTGTGTATGTATGTATGTATGCCTGTCTGTCTGTCTGTCTGTCTGTCTGTATGCATGTATGTATGTATGTATGTATGTATGTATGTATGTATGCA